GTGAGTGTGTAAGCTATGAGTACGTATGACCAATAATAGTTATTTTATGCTTTGTAGTTTTTACTTTTTGTTTGTTTTTTTGTTTTTAAAGTCGGTTTTTTTTTAAATTATGTATCTTAAGTTGTATATATTTAATTTAGTAAATGTTAGTATTAAAAATATGTTAAAATCAATTTAATTATTAAATAGTGACCTCGGGGTATTTCCTTTCGAATTCATTTCCAAGAAGGATATAATACATGATCATGATCCGTATTCTATATGTCTACGTAGTTATTCCCAATGACTAGTTTTTGTGACCAGTTTTCATGATGACTAAGTACTAGTCAAAAAGATGCATTTTTGCACAAAATTATTTGGTTAATAAACCATGTGAATTAAGTACGTACGCATGCGCGTATGATGGATGTATGTCATGCCTTTTATCTCCAAAGGGGTAGACAGAGGTGCACATTATGCCACTGTACAATGTATCACCCATTTTTTACTATGTTATGAGTCCCATGCAATAGGGGATGAGCCTATTGCTATATACCGGGCACAATTCCAGACTCTGTTCTACTACTGAGATTATTAAAAAAAACCTAGTAATACTTTGCCCGACCCGGGAATCAAACCCGAGACCCCTTGCCCGGCAGTCACACTTGCCACCACTCGCCTAACGGGGTAGTCTCGTATTAATTAATATGTATCGTATTATGTATATTCATATGCATGTAAAAAAAGCGGTTAATTTAATATTACAAACAGCCACTTCATTGTTATTTTATCTGTATAGATTAGCATAGGTAGTCGAAAGTACAAGAATGTGTAATTAGTTAACTCATATCTTTTAATAATAATATGATTCAATCACTTACGTACCTAGAAGGAAAGGACACTGGAATTTTTGTGATTACTCAAATATATTATGTTATGACATAATATATTTCTTTAATAACACAAATAAATAATTAATATAATAATTCTTTTAATATATTAATAACAATATATTAATATAATAATTCTTTTAATATATTTGAGTAATCACATGGCTATTGTGATTACTCATCACCATAGCCATCAGTTACATTAACTCATCATTATTTTCGTTTGATTATGATTGGTATCACTACATAGTATAAAACAAAGTCGTCTATCTGTCCCTATGTATACTCAGATGTTTAAAACTACGCAACGGATTTTGATGCGGTTTTGTTTAACAGATAGAGTGATTCTTAAGGAAGGTTTATACGTATAATACATGCATATTGTACTTGTGCAAAGCCGGGGCGGGTCGCTAGTCTATACTAATATTATAAATAGGAAAGATTTGTACCTATTTTTGTATGTTTGTAATGAAGAGACTCAAAAAGTACTGGGCCGATTTAAAAAATTCTTTCACCAGTAGAATGCTACATTCTTCCAATTTGACATAGGCTACATTTCATTTTGAAAAAAATAAGGGATCCTTGGTGAAATTTGAACAATGTAACCGAAGGTGTAGAAAAATTAGTCTTAAAATGTCTTTCGTCGAATGCGCTGCCGAAACTATTAGCGATAGAACAAAATAATGTACAACAATATTGAAGAACATCATAATGTCTACAAAAAGCTCCGTGGTAGCATATGTCCAACTATTGTTGTTATGTCTCTACAACAATCCAAATTTCCCAAAATAAACAATTGTCTACCCTGTGCGAAGCCGGGACGGGCTGCTAGTTATAAATATGATTGGAAATGGTCGACCGAAATAAAGGATCCTAAAAAAATGTTAACAGAAACGGTTTTATTGGTGGAATAGACCTTATCATGGTTGTATATACTGTACATTCTGAGTTTGCAGCGGTTTTTGGAGACTGCGGCGTGCTTGTCTCATAAGAGAAAAGTGTATTGCCGACCTTTTGGCGGTTATAACCTTGAGGATTGTTCGATTCCAGGGCAAAGATCTACTGGGTTTTTTTTAAAAATCTCAGTAGTAGCACGGAGTTTGGAAATGTGCCTGGCATATGGCAATAGGCTCATCCCCTATTACATGGGACTCATAACATAAATAGTGAAAAGTGGGTATTACATTACACAATGTGCACCTCTATCTACCTTCAAGGATAATAAAAGGCGTGATGTTATGTTGTACTTGAGGATTGTTGTTGGGGATTCGGGGATTAGAAAAATTGTGGAGAGGGGTTATTGGGCCTCCGGTAATCTCAGTTACTCGACGAAACACAACGTAAGTGTTGTTAAATATTCCAAGTTAGTTTTTTGTGAGACCGCGGTATCGTGTCGGTCGAACCGGCCTATTAGTGTCGAAGCATGGCTTTCCCATACTTATTTCAACTAGAGTACAACGGTGGGCTTAATGTAATGAGCATTCTTTCTAGCCAACCTACACTTACAATGCAGCAGCGTAACAAAACATCCAAATGAGTTACAGTTCACTTCAAATTTACAGTAAACAAATCTATATGACTGCCTCGTTGGCCGAGTGGTCGCAAGTGCGACTGCCGGGCAAGGGGTCTCGGGTTCGATTCCCGGGTCGGGCAAAGTATTACTGGGTTTTTTAAAAATCTCAGTAGTAGCACGGAGTCTGGAAATGTGCCCGGTACATATACCGGGGTGGGCCTATTGCCATAGCAATAGGCTCACCCCCTATTACATGGGACTCATAACATAAATAGTGAAAAGTGGGTGTTACTTCTATGTGCACCTCTGCCTACCCCTTCGGGAATAAAAGGCGTGATGTTTTACAATTTACAATTACAAATCTATATGAATTAAAATGAATTTCCGTTCATTAGTCTTGCTAAAACTCGAGAACGGCTCAAGCTACATATTTGGCTAATTTCGGTCTTGATATATTCTTGGAAGTCCAGAGAAGGATTAAAAGGTGAGGTTAAAAAAATTGGCGGTACGAAGTTTGCCGGGTTAGCTAGTTATAATATAAATTGGTTAGCAATATTATTTATTTAGTGACTGATCCTTTGTTGTTATTTACAAATAATACAATTAGATCGCAAAAAGATACATGCGAAATGTGGTGTTGGCGATGAATGCTCCGGATACCATGGACTGCCAGACGAACAAATAGGTCAATCCTGAAACAGCTCAATATAAAGACTAGACTGTCGACCGTATGTTACCAGCGATTGCTTGGATATTTCGGTCACATTGCCCGCCGCCAGTCAGATAACCTCGACAAATTGGTTGTTGTCGGTAAGGTTAAAGGAAAAAGACCACGTGGCCGATCACCTAGCCGATGGTGTGACCAAGTTGCCAACTACACTGGACTCTCTGTTACGAAAGCCCTGAGAGAAGCCGAAAACAGGACAAGATGGAGGGAAATAACACAGAGAGCAATGAAAGCCTTTCAGAGGCACGACCTTCAGAAATAAAGCAAGCGATCGAGAAGAAGACAAATAACTAGGTACAAGGCATTATGTCACTGGTAAAAAATGTCGTGGTGGTACAGATTACGAAACCTACAAACTGCAAGTACCAATGTGTTTTTTTCCGAGTTATATGTACTTTCTAAGATTATCTAGACACCACTAAAAATGGTGAAGGAATACATCGTGAAGAAACCTGGGCTTATAATTTCTAATCATAAGTTTGTAATCGCCAACCCGCATTGAGCTAGCGTGGCGATTAATGCTCAAACCTTCTTCGTGTGAGAAGAGGCTTTGCTCAGCAGTCGGCATTTATAGGCTGTTGATGATGATGACGGTACTGGGGAGTTTGGTTTGGTGAGATGGGTGTCCATGTTCATAGCGGTGTCAATGCTAACATCAGACAGTCCGTCATGGGCTCATGCGCCCGATTTCGCGAACCTCTCTTTAATTTTAAGAAACTGCTAAACTAATACCGGTGATATTTAACATATTATGGTTTTCAACAACCTATAAGTGACACTTAAGAATTACTGGTAGGGGTTAGAAAACTTAAAAATTACGACTTCAAAAAAAGACAGTTTATATCATGACATTTATTAACGTACAAAATATACCTAAATACATACAATTTACAATTAAATACCTTAATATATCTCTTACTTATTGGAGAAATAATTAAAAATTGTATTTATATAGTACTTTACTGCCTACGTCCTTAGATAATAAGTTCATAAATTAAATACTTAGAAATTATTACACACGTATGATTTTGTTTGGTAAAAATTTTAGATAAACCTTTTTTATACGTGTTCAATATATTCTTTGATTTAACAAACAATCATCGTTATTGTTAATATCTGGGCTTATCTTCAAACTAATTTCAATGTCAATTCAATTCCAATCCAATGAAATCTCGATAATTATCCAATGTCAACACTGTACAACCCCAATCGTTGCTGTTGAAATAGCATTCAAAGTACGGAATATAGAGCCAAACTCAATATCATTTAGATCATTCAATATCCACGCAATACGGGTGCAATGGGCGCTAGAGTTGCAACTCAAGACTACAAAACACAATGTTTATGTCGATCGATCGGAATTGGATTCAAGAGTAAGCACCCTGGTCTTGTACCTAATTCTTTATCAAAATCAATCCAGCCATTTAGACTACGCGTTTAATAACTAACATAAATACAGTCACACTGAATGACATACAACCATTACGGTGGATGACTCAAATGAAGAATGATTCAAACTCACTGAAATGGTTCTATGAAAATAAATACACATAGTGATTTTCTTAAATCATCGAATGTCTGCTCCCGCTTGGGTGAGGCGGGAGGGAGTGTTAGACTCCTACTGACTAAAAACCACCCCAAACATAGTGGATGTAGCATAGATTTCAATCCGAAATGTATGTTAAGAAACTAAACTAATAAACTTTCCTCTAAATATTTGGGATATAGAACAGTTCTTGTTTCAGTCGCTATATGTACTTTATATTCACTTTTCGCACCTTATAGATGGTCTAACAAACAAGAGCCTATACTTCAAACTTCAATTATACGTTACCTGACTCGATAATCTAAACAACAAATAAGTTGTTAGTAGAAAAAATTGTATTATATTTTATTGTATCCTCGATTTTCCACATTGATATCTGGGTGATCTCTGGGAATGGATTCTGGCTAAGAAGCTGGGTGTGCAGTCCAGTGATGAAGCGGTTGGCCGTTCCGGAGAGGGTCCAATTCTGCCTTCCAGCCAATGTGTAGACATTTCGCCTTTGCCCTGAAGAAAACAAATGTATACCAAAATTAACACATTTTTATTTAGCTTTGCCCGTTTGTTTATTTATTTGGGTGAAAGTGATTGGAATTTACCCCCTCCCTGAAGACAGATTGATTTGATATTTGGTACACACATTTAATCTTGACGACTACATAACATCATCACGCCTTTTATCCCCGAAGGGGTAGGCAGAGGTATACATTATGCCACTGTATACCGTAACACCCACTTTTCACTATTTATGTTATGAGTCCCATGTAATAGGGGGTGAGCCTATTGCCATATACAATTCCAGACTCCGTGCTACTACTGAAATTTTATAAAAACTCAGTAGTACTTTGCCCGACCCGGGAATCGAACCCGAGACCCCTTGCCCGGGAATTGTACTAGCGACCACTCGGCCAACGAGGTAGTCAAGTAAAGACCGTTTAACATAAAAAATATATTATGGAATAGCTTGGCAAAAGAGACGACAGATTACCTGATGGTAAGCTATTGGAATACCAAAGGACTCTCAAGTGCGTTGTCAGCCTTTGGTGATGAGGCGGAATCGAGGGAAGCTTTTATTTAAGGCCGAAAATCATCGAATGGTCAAAAAAAATCGAGGGAAGTTAGGGCCGCCGGATATGAGAAAATTTTATTGAGTGAAACAAGCACAAACGCGTATATGCGCCGAGTTTGTGAGAGGCCTCCGCTCGAACCAGCCTATTTGTGCCGCGTGGCTCTGACTCTCGTGTCTCTAGGTATAAGGTGTTTTTTTGAGGAGGAAAATTATTCAATGACTTTTTCCGCCTTAGGTGAGGTCAGAGGAAATGCCTTACTGGCTTACAACCACCACGTTCCTACTCCTGCTGCAAGATGGAGCCCTGGTAACCCGTTAAATTATCCACAGCTCCGTGTGAACTCGTCCATAGCTACGAGAGAAAGACATCCTAAACTTACAATAACGTTTTGATTTAAAAAGGTTAATACCTTGACATCCACTACGCCCCGCGGAGCCGTTAGAAACAATCCTGTTTTATCAAGGGCCTTTTTCACATCGTCCGATATTTGAATCTTCATCGCTGAAAACAATAAGAAAGACGTCATTCTCACTTTTCTGCTCAGACATACGTGCCTATGTGCGAACTTTTTGTTCACATTGTGTGTTCAAATTTCAAAGAATTGATAATCAGAAAATCGAACCGTTTTTTACTTGATTCTTGTGGGACATATTATGTGTTACGACTTACGAGGTTACTCAACTAGTTTCAAGGCACGTTAAGGGCTCATGGTCAAGATTCTCTAACGTGATGTGTTTTTGAACTAACTACTCACGTTCTCCAGTGCTCTCCATTCTACTTGCAGTGTTAATCGTGTCTCCAAATAAACAGTAACGAGGCATTTTACTTCCCACAATTCCAGCGACACAGGGCCCCATGTGGATTCCACTTCGCATGCATAAAGTCTAGAACAAAATTATTGGAATTCATTATCGTGTCAGCCACAAGATGTCTACTGAACATAGACCTCTCCTTAGGACTTTCCGATCAGCGGAGGGAACAGGTCGACTATCTCAGCCTGTGAGTGGAAGCCAGATAACCCGCTGGTTATCTGGCTTCCACCGTTCTGATGATTAAAATGCTTATTTGCAGCTTAGGAATTTTAATTACCAGTAGACGAAGAATTTAGTGTCATAAAGCTTTTTCCAAAACGTTGCTTAATGGTCAAGATCCAAGCGGTCATCGGTGACTGCTCTTCACTTACCATTTTCGATGTTAAGAGACTACTTCTGTATGAACGAATGTTGTGGATTGTTCCTAATTGGACATTTACGTGTTAATATACATGACCTCACGCCTGTCTCCCATGGAGGTACGCAGAGACTATGAAACGCCAATTGCTACGATTCTTACATACCTCTTTAGCTTTATCAATAGTCAGCTGTCGTTTTATGCATGCTCGTCGGTCAAGGGTACTTTTAATTTGGCCTTTCTTTAATATATCGCCAAGAAAATCAGTGACATGTACAGATGTATCATTCTATTAGTAGGAACTGATGGATACATGCTCATGTATCAAGTCTGCCGTGGAGTGGGACCAGTTAAGCATATGCAAGACATGGCATTGTGCTGGTATTCTACTGGCCCCTTAATTGACTCGCGTTAGTTATCTTATACCTCTATATGTTTTATAGCCATACTTTTTTACTGTTTTGTTATCTTGGTTATAGTATCTATGTGAACACGGATACAATTATTACCTAGATCAGTACCTGATCAGGTCGATGTGGCAGCCTGCACATGGATGTCGCTTCCAGTAGTTCTAACGCCATACTTGCTATTTCTGTGGCATGCTTGTTGCCTGGAAAATAAATATATTATTTTTAGTTTTAAATTAAAAAGATTAGGCTTTCAGTAGGGTTTCTTAACTAGGTTAACTTTCGTGAGACATACTAAATTAATTATTATGTAACTAGCACAGTCAGTAGATAATAATTATGTATAATTTATGTTCTTACCATTTCGAACAGGTAACCCAGACGCTACCATGTACGAATCTCCAATCGTCTCGATTTTATATACATCATAACATTCTATTTTCTCATCAAATAACTTGTAAACTGAATTCAGGAAACTGATCACCTGAAAATGTGCAAAACATTATTTTAAGTACATATTTTTTCGCCTGTAAAAGAGAGCATTTGATATGCTCTTTGATAAGCGAAAAAAGGGTCGACGTGAATAGGTCAGCAAGACCGGAGTGATACTATGGCCTCATAGAAAAATTTGCAGTGTAGAATCATGCGTATAATGTCCTCATCTGAGTGTGCCCAACCCCCATCAAAAGCTGTAACGAACTCACTCACTCTTTTGGCGTTCCAAAGGAGTGATATAAGTTCGTTACTTACAGTTACTTGCAACGGCAAGTAACCATTGAGAGCGACGATTGCTTACCATCAGGTGATCCGTATACTGGTTGGTCGCCATATCCAAGTTTACGTCTGTATATTAAAAGATTTCTGAACTCAAAAGATTAAAAAGATACCTGATACGGTGTAGAAACAGCTGCAATAGCTGTGAACCCTACTATATCACTGAAGTATACAGTGACTGAAGAAAAGAATTCAGCTGGCACCTGTAAATAACATATAATTTAATATAACTATTTAGTTATTGAAGTAGGCAAACACTTTCTAGTCGGGATTGCGAATAAAGCCGCCATAAGTTGCCGCGTCCCCATCTAGAAGCTCCTGCTCCAGTGTGCTCCAAGCAGGAGTGGTCCAGTGTACCTTATGAGTTATCCTCGTGGTGAGAACACTGGACCACTCCTGCTCAGAAGAAAAAACGTACATTTTCTGAACAAGCTACTCATGTCCATTTGTCTGGCAATACATAATTTATCACTATAAGGAACACGTCTAATTACTTTTGAAGTATATTTAAAAAGAAATACGTAAAAAGTTGCGGTTATTTTTATGTCAAGGAACAACGAAACGGCGAAACATAATTACAAACTTCAATAGACGTCGTGGAAATTTCATAAAAACTCATTAAAACTTTCAAGATTCATGAAAAGAAGGCATAGAAGGTATTACTTCACAAAATTAAATTAAAATAGACTGACACATTGAAAAATAAACGTTATTTTGAATAGCATAAGGTATATAGTACATTATAATATGGACTTAGCACAGGCATATTGTTCTCAAGTATAGCTCCAATGAAGTCAAAGTCAAAGTCAGTGAAACTAGGTGAAGCTAGGTGCTCATTCCAAAATGTAGATTCGAATGGAGATGAACGAGCAAAAAACTCCATTCGTTACTCTTTTTAAAAAAGTATGTTCTAGTTACAATGTCTCTGATACATATTTCAATACTGTACGCATATGTAAAAACAATGCAAAGACATGCTTGACGCATTATACTAATAACGTACTAAAATTAAAAAAAAAAAATCTGGAAGTCCAACACGGTGCTACGAAAGTTCTACGAAAACGTTTATTCGATAACTGTGATTTTTTGCAGGTAGAGTGTGTCGGTGGATTCAGATGTTTTCCAACTGGCTAATCTGGAAACTATTAACCCCTGGTATGCCGGAACGTAGATATAAGCGAGACACAATGTGGTTTCTATTGTGTCTCACATGCCGGCAGATAAGAGGTTAAGCAAGTTCTATATTCAGTAGTGAAGGTCTTATAGCTGATGTGATTATGATGTGTCCTCAAGTTGAGAAAAAGGATGATAGCAAGTCTAAACTTGTTATTGATTCTTATCTATTATTGATGTTTGATTCTTTATAGAATAGAGAGTAAAATTCCCTAAGAAAAGGAGAATAGATGAAAAGGAGGAAGAGGACGACCAAGCGAGGTAAGCGTGCCTAGCAATCTAGAGCCCGACAGTTGTCTGTTGGAGTTTTTCTATCCATTATTCTATGGATTAATCGCGAGCAAAGTGACGCGATTTAACATTTTATGCGATTATCCGTCATTTATTATTTGTCGTTCTTCAAACTTCAATGTGCGTCGCCATAAAAAATATAACGCGTTTGTAACCACACGTTTTTTTTTTAAGAAATAATTATGCTGTTTGACGCTAAAAAAAACGTGACGTCACAATACACAATATCGTACAAAATTCATAGAAAACTTTAATTTGTGACAGTTCAAAAAAAGTATTGAATTCGACTAGTTGGCAAGTACACAATTGTGGAGATTATGACAAACCCACGTATATAGAGATGATTTTTTTTTTAAGGGGGGAAAATCATCGAATGACTGCTCCCGCCTGGGTGAGGCGGAAGGGAGTGTCAGACTCGGTTACCCGTTAGGTTCTCCGCGACTCCGAATCGGCATCGGCCTATTGGGCCACATCTGTGGTGGTCTGATGGCTCTTTGAGGCGCGCGCGGAACGCGACGCGCCGTACGCTCGGGTCATATAGAGATGATAGATGGCCTATTTCTAGCAGTATACTGTAAATGATGATGAAGAGGTTGAAAAGCCTCAACAGATTTTAAGCTTTATTGTTTTGTCATAAGATAGAAAACTGTAAGCTCCTGAAAACTCACCTGCTGTGTTTGTTTCAGTTGTTTGGCAATACTGGGGGGAAGCATCTGGTACAGTAAAGAGTCACTCAGTTCTTTCTCATACTCCAACTCTCGAGCCTTTTCAGCCAAGTTACTTGCGTATACCTGAAAAAAACTGAAGCTGTAATCAATTGAAGACTGCATAGCTGGCGCGGTGCTTAAACAACCACCTGTCGCACAACGTGTAGTGAATTCGATTCTCGCACGAAACAACTCTTTCTATTTTTATGAGTAAGGTTACCGGAGGCCCAATTACTACCCTCCCCAATCTCCCCAATCTCTGAATCCTCAACAATCCTCAAATTCCTTATCCCCGAAAGTACTATAAAACACTAGAGAGTGTTTCGAGTATCCATGAGCGGTCGCTTACCATCAGGTGATCCGTTTGATCGTTTACCAACTTATACCATAAAAAATGTATCATCAATATTTTATAGAAACAGAAAAAGGAAACAACCCTAACTGCCTCACTTAGAGACAAATAATGATTATTTAAATCATTTATTTATTTATATATTTATTTCAATTAAATAGTATAACATTACAGTCATAAAACCAAAGCGTTATACATTTCAAATAACAATAACCATGCCTTAGTAACGATTTTGTTCCGAATACAAATCGTCCAAGACTGGGTTAAGTAACCATTAAGAGTTCAGCCGTAAGAGCAATAAATCAATCAGTTCAGAGCTGGCAAAGGCGAGTAAATAATACGAGATGTGACTTGTATGACTAATAGTCTTATGTAAGGTTGCAATGAATGGTGCAAGTTCGTTCACGGTCAATGACTTTACACGCCTACGCATACGGCGCCGACGCAACGGTGACGTGCGTACGCGCCCTTTTAATTAATAACCAATACGTATTTGCTGCATTTCACAATGGTATTAAACTTTATACAAAAATGAATAATGAATTAAAATCTTTCTAAAAACTATTTTTAATGCTGCTTAACATTTATGATCATGTAAACAAAACGAATAACCTTTTAGTTAATCGGTTGAATGTCTATATTATCTGCTTCAAAAAATTGCAAGATTTCACTTTAAACACATACATTTATAATTAAATATAGATTGCAAGTTAAAATAATAAAAGCTTCGAAGGTCAAAATTAGTTTACATACGTGCGAAATAAACATAAAAATAGATTGTTTTCTGTAAAAACACATACACACCACACTCAGATTTTATTTCGGCATCGCGAAACGAAACGCGTGGGCGAAGCAGCTGACAGAAGTGAGTAACAAAAATAAAGTCAGCTGTCAATGATTCTGCGATAACCATGATCAGCTCATTGCCAGTTCCTGATGCTAATCCTGATATGTCGTCGTGGCCCGGAGGTTTAAAACGCCCGCTTCTCACATGAGAAGCGGGCGTTTTACAATGGGCATTTTACATACATATGAGGGTACGGGTTCAAAACCTACCAACGGCAAGTACCAATGTGACTTTTTCCGAGTTATATGTACTTTCTAAGATTATCTAGACACTACTGACAAACGGTGAAGGAAAACATCGTGAGCCCTGTGCTTATAATTTCTAATTATAAGTTTGAAACACCAACCTGCATGATTAATCACCACGCTTGCTCAATGCAAGCGTGGTGATTAATCAAAATCCAATCTTAATCATTAAGGGAAGATTTAAATAAAAAGATAATCAAATCTTCTCCGTGGGAGAAGAGGCTTTGCTCAGCAGTGGGCATTTATAGGCTGTTGATGATGATGATGTTAATCCTATAGAAATAAAGAATACTTTCAGCTTACCTGTATTGTGTTCACAGCATTTCGAACCAACACTATGATGATTGGAGAGACGACGCATACCAGGATCAGAATCCCTGCGCAAACCACCTCCGACCTTCGGGCTTCCGTCAAACTCACAGTTACACCATCCCTAGGGAAAATATTCGTTTATTATTTAATTTTCTTGAATTAACAAATCCAACAATTGTTTTTAATCTTATATTCGCGTGACATTCATGACAGGCAGCAGACAATGCTAGTGTTGTGTTTCGTTATGTGAGTGAGGGTACCGAAGATCAAACCCTCCCCTTCATCCCCAAACCCCATACCGATCCCCAAATGTCAAATATAATGTGTTTTATATTAGTAAACTAGCGACAAACTAGTTCAATATGCATGTATTATATTTAGTTAAATCTTCCTTAAGAATCACTCTATCTATTAAATAACCCGCATCAAAATCCGTTGCGTAGTTTTAAAGATCTAAGCATACGACAATCCCGTTTTCTCCTGTTCGCGTATGATTTTCAGGATTGAATCTGTCTTAAGAACCTTCCCCTAATAATAAAAAATGCAATAAAAAAAGAATTAGTGAAATCGTTCCAGCCATTCACGCGTGATGCGCACCAAGGGAAAAAGGGATTCATTTTTATGAGGTACATATAAATTGGCATGGCACTACGCTTGAATACGTTCATTATACTGTATAATATATCTCTACAAGTATGTTAAGTACGTGTATATATATAATCAACATACCCACTTATCTGGCGTCAGACTGTCTATCAACCTTACAAGATAAACTTCGTATTGAAACTCGACTGTGTGTCGTTCAATTTAAAGTTCGTTTTTGATTAACTGCTGTATTTTATTCAGCCGCGGATTTTTGTTTGCCTTTACTTAGGTATTTTATCATGTTAGCTATTAAATTTAAATTAATGTAATTTATAAGCTCATATAGATAAGTTAACGTGTGTAAAATTCTTTTTGTAAATTGTAATTGTGCCTCCGATAACCTCACTCACACGACGAAACATAACGCAAGCGTTACTTCACGTCGATTTTCTGTGAGCCGTGGTATCGCTCCGGTCGAGCCGGCCCATTCGATCCCAGACATACCCACTCTGTATACTTCTTTCGTTAGGAACCTCTTTCGTTAGCTACTCTAGGTTCATCCATCCTTTCTACATGTCCAAACCATCGAAGCATTCCCTTTTCAATCCTTGCCACTACATCATCTTTCAATCAACATCTTTCTCTAATTACACGAGTTATAATTACATTTATCACTCAATTACTCGATTTTACTCCACATATACTTCTCAAGTCTTTCATTTCCATCGCATTAATCCTTCAAAGTCAAATTCAAAGTATTAATTTCTATTAAACATTAATTAGCCACTTTTGAAACGTCAAAAATTGAATTGTCTGTCCGTATATCTGTCAGTGAAGCTAGTCAAAGTAAAAGTCAAAACCAAAGTCAAAGTCAAAGTCAAGGTCAAGGTAAAGGTCAAAGTCAAAGTCAAAGTCAAAGTCGTTTATTTCAATTAGACCAGGAAGGCACATTTGAACGTCAAAACAAAATATTTAAATATTAAAGAAAAAATATCGGTCTGTCAGTCAGTCCTCTAGTGAAGTTATTTGCTTGTTCTTAAGTATAGTTTCGAATGGAGAAGAACGAGCAAGAAACGCAATCGTTTTTCTTTTAAAAAAGGGTTTTCTTTACAGTCTCATTGATGCATTACCTGATTCTTTACTTAATGTATATTATATTATACTATAGAATGATTTGACAATACAACGTTAAAATTTAATGGGACTACGGAATCAATTCCTGAAATAAAATAAATATTAGGCTGCCTGCTTTTTCCTGCTACACCCTTAACAATAAACATTTTTATTACAACTCGAGACATATTAATTAGTTCGTTAACAGTAATAAATACCACACTGTATAATAGTTACTATTATCGCCATTAATAGAAAAACCCGTTGGCCTTCGAGTACATTATAAGTACGGTAGCCAGCAGGTAAACCTATCCTTTTCTGTGTATTACATCTTCAACTTTATTGTAATGGTATGAAGTCGAATACGCAATGAATAAATTTGATAGATAGGACTAGGTTCATCTGCTGCTGGCCAGTGTACATATGGGTATTACCCGCTCGACTTTCTAGTCTAGAGGTATGCCACTTTACAATTTATTAAGCCAATTATTTGAAAAATACGCCGAATAATAACTACGACAACCTCGGAAAGACAACGTCAAGCCCAAAATTCCTTTTAGGACCGGGAAAATCATGAAACGACTCCTCCAGACGTGGGTGAAGCGAGAGTGTGTCAGACTCTTTATTAGCTAAACATCACCCAGTTCTTACTCTTACTCTGGAGCCACGGTACTTATTGCGCTTTATATAGCAACCCCGACTGGGCATTGAATCGACCCTAGTGGGCCCCGTCTGTAGTTTTTTTTTATGAAATGGGAGGCAAACAAGCACAGTTAACCTGATGGTAAGCAATCAGCGCCGCCCCTGGACATTCGCACCCCAGGGTACTCACAAGTGCGTTGCCGGAATGAAAAAAAGAGTACGCACTTTTCTTGAAGTTTCGAAGGCAACCCACAGTTGATAGAATAAAATTAGTTAAGTCGGGAGTCAATCAAATTAAAATAAATACTAACCGCAAATTAAATTGTTAGTAACATTATTTATCTCGCGTTATGCCCACTTAAACATCATTACATAGAATAATTGTTCAATCAAACGACAATTACGGTGTAGTATAGCGGCGCCTAGGCGTAATTATACTTTGTCTAAATACCTAGACATTATAACATAAGATAGACTTGATACACAGTTTAAACTTTGTCCAACGTGGCAATGCTGCCAGTCTTTTCGTCACCTTACCTCATGACAATGAGAGACGTTCAGATCATTCTTACATTTGAGGTAACTTTTGACAATAGATTGACACATATTTAAAATATCGTTTCAGTATACGGTTTTTTCATTTAAGTGGACTTTTGAGCACGACTTAAGTTAAATTTAACAGACCTTTATAAAGATAACTGTCGTTTGAGTATACAAAACTAGAATTTGAGGGCTGCTCAATCATTTAAGCAGCCGTTAAATATTTAACAAACGTTTCAGTATTCGGGCGTAAGAAAATAAAGTAAGTAAATAGTTGTGAAATCCAGGCGAACTCATCATCAATAGGTATACCGCAATATAAAGTTACCATGGCCTTGACCCGCACGAAGCAGGAATTTAAACAGTGTAGTTTTTATCCAGTAAGGGTCTTACACTCCCTCCCTCTCGCGGTCCCTAGATGGGTGGAGTAAGTTTGTCCTCCTAAAAAACCTCACGATATACGCCTAAATTGAGCCCAAAACAAAAAGAAATGAGAAGACAGATCAGCCTGCAAAAAAGAAAACACTGCCTCAATTAGCCTAGGTGTCGCTAGTACGTCTGCCGGGCAAGAGGTTTCGGGTTCGATTTCCAGGTCGAGCAAAGTATTATTGGGTTTTTTTTAAATCGTAGTAGTAGCACGGTGTCTGAAAATGTGCCCAATATATGGAAATAAGCTTACCCCCTGTTACATGGGACTCATAACATAAATAGCGAAAAGTGGATGTTACATTGTACAGTGGCATTAAACTGTCAAACACCAAGCGGTCGCCGGTGACCGCGACCTATTGTTCTTTAATTGTGTCTATAATAGTCGTGGTGGCCCGGAGGTTTAAGACGCCCGCTTCTCATGCATGAGGGTGCAGGTTCGAAACCTACCAACGGCAAGTATCAATGTGACTTTTTCCGAGTTATATGTACTTTCTAAAATTATTTAGACACCACTGACAAACGGTGAAGGAAAAACATCGTGAGGAAACCTGGACTTATAATTTCTAATTATAAGTTTGAAATCGCCAACCCGCATTGAGCAAGCGTGGTGATTAATGCTCAAACCTTCTCCATGTGAGAAGAGGCTTTGCTCAGCAGTGGGCATTTATAGGCTGTTGATGATGATGATGATGATGATAAAACCGGTACTCGACGAGTTAAGTGCCGTTAGGTAATGTGCACCTCTGTCTACGTATAAAAGGCGTGACGTTATGTAAGACAAAAAACAAAATGAGTCGATTCCAAAAATAAAAGATTACTATCTAAAATATGCAAGCAGATGTTCGTGTTAATAATCATCTAAACACACACAGCCAGTTCGTTGCTCCGTTGGCATTGAATCTATTTGAGTTGAACAAATATTACAAGTGTGCCAAATTGTTGAGATAGGTCTGGTTAAACTAATACGACGTTCTTCCTACTTCTTTTTTATCCAAAACACGACTATATCTATATGGTCCTAGGCCCAGGGAAGACATAAGTGACTGGGCTGAGTCTGGACCCAATACAATACTTTTTCCATTCCATAACTTGCCTAACTCTTCCCGTACAGTTATCTAAATCTAAAGTCATTTCATTTTCTGCTACGTTTTTGCACTTAAAGAAGATAGAAAGAAGAAAGAAAAAAGAAAATAGAAGAAAGACAGAAATTGTTTATTTGAACGTCACAAAATACAATAACACGAAAAAATTGTTTAAAAAATAATGAAGATGGTGAAAAGTACTTAACCAATTTAGATCACATTTAGTACACATAGAGCATAAACTTTGAGAACCGAAATTCGACAAGTTTTAAACTGTTATGATATGAAGAAACTAACGTCCAGTTTCTATAACCTATCTATCTGTAGATTTGCTTACTAGAGATAGAATTTTCACACATTTTGTATGGAGCTCATGTCAAAATTCTATCTCTAGTAAGCAAATCTACAGATAGATAGGTTATAGAAACTGGACGTAAGAAGAATCTTACTCACCACAAAACGAGATTGTCGGTATTATGAAACGATCGCTTCTCACTCGGGATTGTCAGCAATTGAATTAAATAGGTGAGTGTCCCTTGAACCGTATTGCGCACACACTTGATTGCCAAGCTAATCACGCTCAATTTAATTTGAACCGTAACATGACCCACCGTAGTCACACATTTCAGTTGAACACATTAAGTTCGTATTTGCAATGAGTCATTTGTAAAATATTATCGCAGTTAGTCTTTACGTACATCGATGCAGTGAATTTCGTTTTGACTACCGTCATTAATTGTGTCTATACACAATTAAAGAACAATAGGTTGCGGTCACCGGTGTCCGCTTGGTGTTTGACAGTTTAATGATTTGATTTTACTACTATAAAAATTGTTCTACTGTGACGCAATTTACTTCTAAAATCTTCTTCAGTGTATCTACCGTATTAGAAATACCTAGATAAAATAGAACAGGACAAAGATTAATATTGCGGCAACCAAATATTATGCGTCGTCTTCAGTCATAAGCATTTATTTCAATTAAACCATAATGTGTTACTTTTGAAACGTCAATAAATATAAAATAAAAAATAGTCTGGCAAACTATCCGTCAGTGAAGCTAGGCGGTCGTTCAAAAATGTAGATTCGAACGGATACGAAAAAAAAAGAAAACGAAAAGAAAAAACAATTCCATTCGTTACTCTTTAAAAAGAAATGTTTTACAATTCTTTTTTTTTAGAGCGATAATATTATCATCCAAAGGTTTCTTCCTCCTTGAGTGAGTTGAGAGGGGGTGTCAAACTCTTATCGACTAAAAACCACCCCGTTTCTAGTCCTGCTTTGAGCCAGGGAGCTCAGGTAACCCGCTTGGTCCTCCGCAGCCCCAGGCGTGTGAAATATCTGATGGTAAATTCACTAACCTTATATACTCTCTCAGTTGCTTCTGCACAGCTCTCAGCTTATCTAAGAAGGTTGCAGTCTGATCGAAGTATTCTATTGCGTCAGCCACGCTACCGTCCTGGTGTTTATTGTCCACGATCTGTTGGTTTCTGATAAAAATAAATATAAATTAGAATAGTAATGGACAGAGGTAAAATTGTTATTTAGTAAAAAAGAAAAAAGTACCCTTAACCGACGAGCATGCATGAAAAGATTGATGACTGTTGATAAACTAAAGAGGTATGTAGGAATTGTAGTAATTGACATTCCATAGTCTCTGCCTACCCCCATAGGAGACAGGCGTGAAGTTATATATGTATGTAAAAAAGAAAGAAATGAGTCGGTAGAACCTGGTATCTACCAGTCTGGCCTGTGTAAATTTGCTTATGAGCAGGCGTGCTCCATCGTAGGCCGCATTATCGCTTACCACTAGGCGAGATTGTGACCAGACGTCAATCAATTACGTAATTGTAATAACTAAAGTTTTGGAAATAAGTAACCCAATAATTCTATTTTAGACTTGTTGGTGTCAACCAGACGCAAATATGAAGCCAGTCTTACATAAAATATAAGATTTATTTACACATAATTTGCCAATAAACCAAAACTAAACAAAAAAGAATAGAAATGTTTATTTACGTACTTTTTCTCTAAGTCCTGGTATTCATGACTGTCTTCTTTAATATCCTTATGAAGGGGAATGAGAGAAGGCACCAGATTCAACGTGTTGTCCAATAAGTCTCGACCCAAAACCATATGGGCAATATACCTGGAATAACAAAAAATAATTATAAACACCTCAATTTAAGATCAATTCTTGTCATGACATATTTATAACATCACATAATATAATGATATACTAACGAATCTTTAAAGGTGCTCTCTCACCGGGAGCATTCGTGTGTAATGTAACATTACAGATCTGAGCATTACATCAGTGAAGGAGAAGAACCGAGCATTACAATGCGCATCTTGTAATAATACAATGTGCAACTTGTAACATCAATGCACTCCACTTCCCCCATCCAACACCAATATGTTACAATAGCTACTTCCGCGCGGTTTCACACGCTCTGCTCAGCTCCTATTGGTCGTAGCGTAATGTTTTATGGCCTATAGCCATCCTCGATAAATGCGCTATCCAACACAAAAAGAATTATTCAAATCCAACTTGTAGTTTCGGAGATTAGCGCGTTCAAACAAACAAACAAAAAAACAAACTCGTCCGCTTTATATAATAGTATAAGATATAAGATTAGATTACACGCCAATGCTCGTAAGTCAGGGAGGTATTATTGTAATGTAATGCTCAAAGTCATATCTACATGTTACATTACACGTGAATGCTCACGATGAGGGAGCACCTTTATGTTTAGTACAAAATTACCTTTCATAAGCTTTCGGCTGAAGATATCCTCTGGCGAAATAGTTGATTCCCAATACCGAACCTATGCCTTTGCACTCGATACTTCTCAGCAAATTCTTAAACCCAACCAGGTACCTATTGAAAACAAATAATGTTATATAATGAAATTTTGCCCGGTAAGTATGGTAATGGAACATAACATAGCATAACGTCTTTTATCCCTGAAGGGGTAGGCAGAGGTGCATATTCAGTGTGGGAGAGCCATACTTCGGCACGAATGGGCCGCCTCGACTGGAGAGATACCACGGACTCACAGAAAACCGACGTGAAGCAACGCTTGCGTTGTGTTTCGTCGTGTGAGTGAGGTTACCGGAGGCCCAATTACCCTCCCTTTCTCCGATCTCGCCAATCCTTGAATCCCCAACGATCCTCAAACTCCATATCCCCAAAAGGCCGGTAACGCATTGGTTACGCCTCTGGTGTTCCAGGTGTCCATGGGCGACGCCGATTGCTTACCATCAAGTGATCCATCTGCTTGTTTACCGGCTTGTGCCATAAAAAAAACTTATGCCACTGTACAATGTAACACCCACTTTTCGCTATTTATGTTATGAGTCCACGCATAGGAGGTGAGCCTATTGTCATATACCGGGCACAATTCTGGACTCCGTGCTACTACTAAGATTTTTTTAAAAACCAACCCAGTAGGCCTTTGCCCGTTTAGGGTACTCGTGACATGAGACCTCTTGCCCGACAATCGCACTTGCGACCATTTAGCAAACGAGGCAGTACGGCAATAGCAATATTACCATAATTACCGGAATTATAACATAAGTAACTAGACAAAATTTAATGGTACATATAAAATGTGTATTTATTATGTTTTCTTAAACTATTTATCGACAGAATGTGACCTAGTTCTCATATGATTTCAAATCTTACGTTCGTATTTTAACCAAAATACGTTCACATTTTCCGAACAAAATTTCAACTTTAAAAACAAAAGATATTTATAACATAGTCATGCTTTTGGCGTCGAATCACACTGTTTGTTTTCTTTACTTACCTAGGTATCTAAATGTTTGGAATTCGTAGAAAATATCAAAAATATGAAAGTATATTTTTAATGTAGTTTCTATGTACGTTACTTAATTAAATAATTAACTAATTAAGAAATTGTTGTGTTTTAATGATGACTGTCGTGAGAAGTCGTAGTGGCCCGAAGACGGGCGTTTTAACCTCTTTAAAACCTAGTAATGCCTACTGATGTCTAAATCCTCTTCTCACACGGAGGAGGTTTGACCATTAATCTCCACGGTTGCTCAATGCAGGTTGGTGATTTCAAACTTATAATTAGAAATTATAAGCCCAGGTTTCCTCACAATGTTTTCCTTCACCGTTTGTTAGTGGTGTCTGAATAATCTTAGAAAGTACATATAACTCGGATAAAGTCACATTGTTATTTGCCGTTGGTAGGTTTCGAGGCCGCACCCTCATGCATGAGAAGCGAGCGTTTGAAAGCTCCGGATCACTACGATATTTGGTCCACCGTGGTTCGTTCAAGTTCAACCGAAACGTTCGTGTCAGAGCATGGCTCTGCCGCGTGATAAATGTTAAAAGCGTGATGTACTATAAACTTTTCTTTCCCTACAGTATTTAAACTCATAAAAAACTTTAGTGACTCAAGAGATATTGTAGTACAATTACATAATAAACATAACATAATATCACGCCTTTTATCCCCGAAGGGGAAGGCAGAGGTACACATAATGCCACTGTACAATATAACACCCACTTTTCACTATTTATGTTATGAGTCCCATGTTATAGGGGGTGAGCCTATACCGGGCACAATTCCAGATTCCGTGCTACTAATGACATTTTTTTAAAACCAAGTAATACTTTGCCCGATCCGGGAATCGAACCCGAGACCCCTTGCCTGGCAGTCGTGTAAAAGTGTAGTACAGTTAGTCGTGATATTGTAGTAGTCAGCAGCATACAAATAATTGGTGAGTCAGAAGTGACGGTGTCATGAAAAGAATTACAGAGATCTTCAGTACAATTAATCGAGTATAATACAATTATAATACAATAGGAATAACATGACACATTTATCTAGCACTAGGTACTCCCACGGTTTCAGACGACAGCGTAAATCATACTAATATCACGCCTTTTTATCCCCGAAGGAGTAGGTTAGTGTACGTTACGGCACTTAATGCCACTGTACAATGTAACACCCACTTTTCACTATTTATGTTATGAGTCCCATGTAATAGGGGTGAGCCTATTGCCATATACTGGGCATAATTCCAGACTTCGTGCTACCACTGAGATTTTTTACAATCGAATCGAACCCGAGACCCTTGTCCGGCAGTCGCACCTGCGACCACTTGGCCAACGAGATAGTCTACTAATATTATTTTCATAGTATTTTTTTGGATGTTTTGACAGCCAGACTTAGATGATAGGATACTATTTATCCCGATTCAATGCTACCATGGGATAAAACAATAATACGAAGGCGACAGCAAAGCCGCGGGTAAAAACTAGTGCGGTATAACAGTCAATGTTATTAACCTGTAATAATCATAACCTTAACTGAAGATAAAATTTTGGCACTTGTCTTAGTAAAATTTAAGATAGCTGTAACCACACTTTGACATTTAACTCAATGCCAATAACGCGATATTTGATTAACAGAATAAAAAATCTCAGTATAAATACGACCTTGTCGTAATTTTTAAAGCAGTAAATTGTGTCAGTATCAAGTATCAATCTCATTGAGTTTCCTATTCTCTCAGCATACATAACATTATGGTTCATTGCACTTGTTCGGCAAATTGCCTAATCGATCGATCAATGAAGTATGTAGTCGAATTAGGAGATCAAAGAACTGATTCACATCAATAAAGTGACAAAGTCATCAACATTTAGAGCCACAACAAAATTAATTAAGTTAATCCAGCTATAGCAGTGAAAGGGTTAATATTTGCTACAGAATGTTTGTCCAAGGTAATCACAGCGCGCACAGGGTTAATTTGTTTTATCACTACGCTGGGATGTTGATACCTTTGTAGAATTGACATGTTTTAGCCGTGGACTACCATTAGTTGATGATGTTGATCATTTTGATGAGGATCATGATCGTAGTGTCGTTTTATATTTTGAATGGCAAACGAACAGACGGATCACCTGATGGTAAGCGATCAGCGCCGCCCATGAACACCCGCAACACCAGATGAGTAACAGGTGTGTTACCGGCCTTTTAAATAGGAATACGATCTTTTCTTAAAGGTTTAAAGGTCTTATAAGTTCGGAAATACCGCCGATGACAGATCATTCCACAGTTTTGTTGTACGAGGCAGAAAGTTACGTGAGAAGCGTACAGTTGTGGCCTGCCATCTATATGATGGGGATGCATATCCTGTCGTGAGGATCGATGGCGAAAAGATGTGGCAGGTATCAGGTCAAACAATTCCTCAGAGCACTCCCCGCGGTATTAGCGATAGAAAAAGTGTCTAAGTGAAAAAGTACTATTTATGTGTGTACTTTAATATAAATTAAGAACAACTTAGTATAATATAATACAGTTACTGTCTCATTCTGACTCGATGTAAAGGCATTCAGACAGGTTTTCTGTATCCTTATGTCAACATAAAAATTAACGACGACCTTGTGAATCATTTAGTGATTCATCAAGAAAAGTATTTGTGATGAATTGACCATTTCACCGAAGTGATTTTTTTATCCTACTTAGCGTCTGTTCACTGACTGCATAATATTATAGTACTTATGTACCCGATTAACTTATGTGACAGATAGTTCATACGAATGTACGGTATCATTATGTCAGAAAGGCATGGAAAAATAGGTTGACCGAAATCAACTGAGTACATATTAACACAAGAAATGCCTGGCGACTTGTTGACAAAAGAATTATCACCTAATAAACATTGCAAACTCCTAAATATATTAGTGATTATTTCAACTTTAGATTAATAGTCTTTATAAAAGAAAACATGTTAAGATTAAAATAACATTTATTATGTTTAGTAGGTCATTAGGATGGCACGGGTACGTAGAGGGGGGACTCTAAGTGCCCACCCTGTGGTCTCATGGAAGACGGTGGCACAGTTGTCACGTGCCGCCTGACGTGAGAAAAAAGAGAAGAAAGAAATCCTAAAGGATACACCGTCTCTCTTTTTTTTAAACGGGGAAAATCATCGAATGACTGCATGATGCACCCGCCTGGGTGACGCGGGAGGGAATGTCAGACTCTTACTGACTTAAAACCATCCCGTTCCTTCTCCTCCACGTCGAGCCAGGTAGGTTTTCCGCACCCGTTAGGTTCACCTTTTCTCTAGGGATGTGTCGTAATGGGCCTTGCACCATGGAGGCTCCGGAGCAGGTCTGTTTTAGAGGACCCGGTGCTTTCATACAGGTTTTGAGGTTGGATGGCCAGGGTGGTTTTACTGGGGTAAAAATCCCACACTCCCTAGTCTTTTAACCCCAAAAAGCTAGGCGACTTTTGAATTTTTCTCTCCCCAAAAAATAGGTCATTAGGATGGAAAGTAACAAAATATTTTTATAAGGTAGGTTACGTAAGTAGCTTGTTATCAATGTTGTCAGTGCATCTTGTAAAAAAGAAATAATAAATTAGTTGAAAAAGTCGTGAGTTAATACAAGATTCTGTACCGCAATGTAGAAAACCCCAACAAATATACGGCACGCGCATGCACACCTGTGTTTGTCTTATTAGGTCATTGATTGTCATCGTATGCTAATAAAAATATCTGACAACATTTTATGTTATTTTTAATAGCTTCTGCCTACAGCTGCCCCGTTTGTAGTAGGACATCATTTTTTTTTATGGCATAAGTCGGTAAATAAGCCGACGGATCACCTGATGGTAAGCAATCAGCGTCGCCCATGAACACCTAGAACACCGGAGGCGTTACAAGTGCGTTACCGGCGTTTTAGGGATTAGGAGTTTGAGGATCGTTGGGAATTCAGGGATTGGGGAGATTGGGGAAGGGGAGGGTAATTGGGCCTCCGGTAACCTCACTCACACGACGAAACACAACGCAAGCGTTGCTTCACGTCGGTTTTCTGTGAGGCCGTGGTATCACTCCGATGGAGCCGGTTAGTTATAATATTGTTTGAAGCATGATTTTTTTTACTATTTTCATGCAACACTAATGTCGTGCCCGGAGGTTTAAGACGCCCGCTTCTCGTGTATGAGAGTGCAGGCCTACCTACCAACAGCAAGTACCAATGTAACTTTTTCCGAGTTTATGTGCTTTCTAAGTTTATCTAGACACCATCGACAAACGGTAAAGGAAAACATTGCGAGGAAACCTGGGCCTATAATTTCTTATTATAAGTTTGAAATCGCCAACCGGCATTGAGAAAGTGTGGTGATTAATGCTCAAACCTTTTCCGTGCGAAAGAGGCTGCTGCGAGGTCAGCAGTGACCACTTTAGGCTGTCGTTGAAACTGGTTGTGTTACACTTGCTCTATAACTCGATGTAATTAATATCTAGAGATATTTTTATATAATCTACAAATTTCTGTCTTTCTACCCTTTTATCCTGTCATATCTCCATTCTTGGAGATAATACATACCTCCATATTGTACTGCTGTCCGTATCTTTAATCTCTTTCGTGAGGTGGCTGAGCAGAGCTGCGTTAGCATTGGTATACCACTCCACAGCTTCTGTCATTGAAGTACCCGCGTTTATACTCGCTCTGTGAACAAACAAAAAGTGAAAATATAGAGAACATACCGAGGAACAAGCAAATCTCCACCGGAGTGATACCACGGCCTCGTAGAAAACCGGCGTGAAACAACGCTTGTATTGTGTTTCGTCGTGTGAGTGAGGATACCGGAGGCCCGACATTCCTCAAATTCCAAATCCACAAAAGGCTGGTAACGCACTTGTAACGCCTCTGGTGTTCCAGGTGTCCATGGGCGATGCCGATTGCTTACCTTCAGGTGACTGGAGCATTCAGGTGATTAATTGTCGTAATATGTAACCCTTCGGGATAAAAAGACGTAATGTTATGTCGAAAAGTTTGTTTGATTTTCAATTTGATATTTTTTCGTATTGGGTAATCTATTTATCGAGAAAGGCTATATAAGCTGTAACACCGCACGCTGTGATCAATAGGAACTGAGCAGAGCAGGTGAAACTGCGTGGGAGTTGCTAGTAACATATATATTACAAACTAGCTTCTGCCCGCGACTACGTACGCGCATTCCCGTTTTCTCCCGTTTTCAAGATTATTTCTATCGTAAGAACCTTCTCCTAATAATAACAAATACAACAAAAAAAAGATCATCCAAATCGGTCTAGCCGTTCTCAAGTTATGGCGTGACAACGGGAAATGGGTTTCATTTTTATATATATAGACTAGCGGACCCGACAGACGTCGTCCTGTAATAATAGGTACCTATAGATAAATAATCTAGAAACCGACTGCAGCGCCATCTGCCGGGCTGATTTGTGAATCTAAACCATTCCCAGATCCCCTTGAACACACACAAAAGATTTCATCAAAATCGGTCCAGTCGTTTGAGAGAAGTTCAGTGATATACACACTCACAGAAGAAACATATATATATAAAGATACATAGATACATATAAATAAAGTAGGTAAACAAATCATCGGCGCTGGCGCGACGCCGTGACCGACGGTTACCTTGAAATTGAGAGTTGACTGTCTGTGAATTCCAGTGAAGTAGGAACGGTAGTCGGCGGTGCCGATTGACCCCGATAGTACTTAGGACGTACAGGTCATCGAGTCATCACATACCGTTAATTAGAGATATTATTAATTTAAATAAATGAATTATAATGATTTTTAAGACTGCCTCGTTGGCCGAGTGGTCACAAGTGCGACTGCCGGGCAAGGGGTCTCGGGTTCGATTCCCGGGTCAGGCAAAGTATTACTGAGTTTTGAAAAATTCTTAGTAGTAGCACGGAGTCTGGAATTGTGCCCGGTATATGGCAATAGGCTCACCCCCTATTACATGGGACTCATAACATAAATAGTGAAAAGTGGGTGTTGCATTGTACAGTGGTACCTATAATGCACCTCTGCCTACGCCTTCGGGGATAAAAGGCGTGATGTTATGTTATGTTATGTGTGATTTTTAACTTATATACTTTGACAAGTCTTATTGTAAAATTACAAAAGCTAAAAGTCAAAACAGTTATTTAAATTAATCCCTAATTAGGCACTGTTGAAAGGTTAATGAATTGTCCGTCAGTCTGTCTAATAACTACGCAACTGTCTATGTATGCTATGTATCTATTCAACACCAGTAGTATAAATACGAATGTTTGAGTATGAATGTTAAAATTTTTGTTGACGTTCAAAAGTGCCTTTCTGGTCTATTTAGAATGAATGATTTTGATTTTGACTTTGAATTTGATTAGAGTTTAATCTTTGAAGTGTCACGCATTACACTTTTCCACGTTATACTATGTAGGTACTTTCTAAATTATATTGACATTAGTGATAGATATTCCTTCAAAAAACCATTGTGAAGAAACTATGGACCTATGATTTTTCATTATAGGTTTAAAATTGCCATTCCATCTTGAGCAGGCGTGGCGATTCACGCGATTTAATTTAACGATTGTGAGATGTGATGTCATGAAAGTTTAATGATCGATGAACTACAACTGCCATCGACCCTCCCGACAGCATCTCCATCCTGATCATATAAAAGGCCACAAGCAACTATGCGCTTCTCATATGGAATGATCGTCGGCGGTATTTTTGAACCGATACGACCTTCAAACATTCAAGAAAAGAGCGTATTCCTTTTTAAAAGGCCGGTAACGGACCTATGACTCCTCTGGTGTTGCGGGTGTCCATGGGCGGCGCTGATCGCTTACCATCAGGTCCGTCTGCTCGTTTACCTCCTATTCTAAAACAACTTCATTGAGTAAATGAACTTGTAGCATTCGTAGTGAACACACGAATTGAATAATGATAAGGATGGCATTATTCCACTCGCGCGCGCACTACATGATTAATTAAATGTTCTCATAGGTACATATTTACTTTACAAACAATTTGTCTAATTTACGACAGTCGACTACACTATTAGACAAAGCAATTTGCGATTCAATTTGACTTCGAGCTAATGGCGGAGTATTAATATACTCCACCATTTATATTTAGTTGTCACAACTTCTCAACCTTTCGTGGGTGTTGAGATTGGAGAATCGAATACTTAGGGTTTAACTAATTTCAATTCTGTATGCGCCGTTCATAAGCTTGATGTTTGTCATACCAATAAACCAATTTGCGAGATTGTGGCGGGCTTGCCCCAATAAATAAAATATCAGTATATTAGTTGTAGGGGGAAGTATAAGGTGTAAAAATCTTAGGTGTCTACTACTGGGAGACTTCACCCTAAAAATTGAATCGCTCGCGTTATTAGTTATCGAGAAAATACAAGCGGAGTTTAGCATTTATAATATTATAGGATAGTCATATTTTATTTTGTCTAATTTTTTTCAAATATTAATGAATGTAAGATCGTATACAAAAATAAAATTATAATTATGTTAGTCTAATTACACACACTATATAATACTTAATAAAAAACTTTTATTTGTATGTATAACATAATTTATATAACTACATAAATATTTACAACTTTAAATTAACTACAACTAAACTATTAAATAAAACGAAAGTAAAAAAAAGAAAACAACAAAAATTATACCCTTAATTTAGGCGTCAAAGTATTCGTCCGCATCACGATCACAGGGGAACGTTCCCAGAAGACTGGCAGCATTGCCACGTTGAATGGCAATGCTTATTTTCTGTCCGAAGAAAAAGCCAGCCCTCTGGGGGCCAATTCTCGGCTTTAGAGATGATGTCGAACTCGACAAAAATGTCTAATGACGTCATTTTTTCGTCAAATTTTAAAAGTTGCTATTCTGGAGATGTCGAATGCGACATTTGTCGAAGGCTAACGTTAGAGTTCATGTCGAGTGCTTCTGAGCAGTAGAGATGGCATGTCGATTGTAGAGATACTGAGATACGCCATTTCTGTGAATTCGTTGAGTTTCGAATTGTACAGTGTTTTCTTTTCTTTCGTTTTAAAGTAAAATACGGCTTGGCATCTTATAAGTATGAACATTGGAAATTCAGTATAGACTCTTCAATTTGTGTATTGTGTTTTCTTGAAACGACGACCTTCGCGTAAATAACAGTCTTTAATTTGTGTACCCACGATTGGACTTGAAACTTGAAACATGGACGAGTTTATTAATATTTTTATCTTGGAGATGTTGGAAAGTGGCGAGCGACTGGCCAATACACGGCGGCAACAGCGCATTTATCCCGTCGTCGGGATAAGTTGGGCACTAGGGTATTTTTTCTCTCCCTGCATATTAAACTGTCAAACACCAAGCGGTCACCGGTGACCGCGACCTATTGTTCTTTAATTGTGTCTATAAAACCGGTACTCGACGAGTTAAAACGAAAATTATAAAAATGTCCAACAGAATAGCCCACTAGTGAGTGATGATGAACTTATAAAAGTTTTGAAACAACCGCTTACAGATCTAAATTGTGACACTGACAGACAGTCAACTGGAACTGTCCTGTCAAACTGAATATTTTTGCACTAAACGTTCCGTTTTAACTTAAATAATTAGGTTTAGTGAACGTTTTATGACAAAATCATTCATTCACTCACAACTACCTAAAATGGAACGTGCGATTCTGCATAATGGTAACATTATCTTCACTCGACTCGACATTTTCGTGACATTTGTTTCTATTTTGACTGAGAATACGGATTTCTGTGCAATTCGACATTTTTTGGTAGAGATAGAGATATTTTTGATAGACATAGAGATAGACTTACAATGTCGAACTCGAGATAAATGGCGAAAATCGAGAATTGGCCCCCTGGTCACGTGTAGAGTCGATTAGCCTACGGGCGATATCTTTAAACACAGAGTGTGCACTGGGACCCCATGGCCTAAGTGTTTCGACCCCAAACGGCTCAAAACAGTAGCTAATTATGTTTAACCACTTCAATAATTGTAATCATTTATAATGATTTGTGAGATCTTTATTTTGTCGCGTCCTAGTCTTATGACGGATTAATTGTTTTGATTGGTATGATTCACTCGGACTCGAATGAGTGACGATCCGCGTGAGTCATTCGAAAGGAGACAGGAACACAGTCTTTTTGAGATTAAAACCTGCTTTTTTTCTTATACATAATTACATTACGTATCATTATAAATTGCCTGTACTTAAATTATTATTAGTAAGTTTAAGTGTTGTGTTGGCACATTTCTATTCTCTGTACTTATCGTGGAAAACAGTAATTGGCTTTTTGTTGCATGCAAAATTTTATTTAATGAAATCATAATAGCTGTCGGTTTCCCAAATGTATAAATCTATTTAAACATATATATTTTTTTAAGGGTTGGAAAATCATCGAATGACTGCTCCCGCCTGGGTGAGGCGGAAGGGAGTGTCAGACTCTTACTGACTAAAAACCACCCCGTTCCTTCTCCTGCACTTCGAGCCGGTGCCCCGGTTACCCGTTAGGTTCTCCGCGACATCTATACATATAATAAACTGTAGAGAAGTCTGTTCAAGAAATATACATATTTCCAAAATAACTATCAGGGGGATCAAATAAGCCTGCTTGTCAGTCCGTCTGTCTCTATATTTACGCATGAAACTTGGTATGATTATAC